ATAACCACACTAAGAAGGATTTTGCAAAGCCAAGGATCAAAGTTTCTTCTAACATATCTCGACTAGGACAACAGGAACAATCCGGTAAAAATCCGCCTCTTTAGGTCGATTTGAAACATTTTTGCTTCACATTGCGGCTGAATCTATTGTTTTTTTCCCCCAGAATTCCAAGGACATGATGAGTTGATAGCGCTTATAGGTAGAAGCTCTTTGCGTGCCACAATTGAAGCTCGTACTGTAGGTATGCTACCAAGTTGCCATACAAAAAGAGTGAGAAGTCTTGCTCTTTCTCCTTCAAACCGTGAGCTCTTTGCTACAAGGTGATTTTACGTTATTTTTGTTTGTCTCAATTCCCAAAAGCGAACAAAAGACACGAGCTAATGTACTCACTGCCAATCTTGTGGATGAAAGTAGGTCTCAGTTTCTCATATGCATAAGAGGGAACCAATATAGACATTGGACAGAGTTAACTAATCTAATATACTCTCTACTCCTATGCTTAACGTTTTTCTTTTTCTCTCTTCTTTTTGGTTTTTGGTTATTCTTCAGTGCATTGGATGGGATAGTTCATTTTTGGAAGCTTCACTCTGACGGGTAAATGTGCCTTAAATAAGCCTGATCTACTGATTATGATATTTCTTGCTCATTCTTGAGGTTTAGTTGATCAATTGTTATTTATGTTAAAAGATTTCTAGGAAGGATTTTGGATTACATAACCTCAAATCCATATAGATTCCCTTGATTTTAAAATCCAGTTGACATCATTTCATCCATCAACTGATTAAGAAAAGTCAGGCGAAATTTAGTTTCGCTAATAGTATATGTCAACAAGCAGCAATATTTATGTACAAGATCTTAAAAGATAGAGTTTGTACAATGTTCGCTACTGGCAAGTTTACTCTTATTTTCATGAATACTTTAATCTAAATTTCATTAGATACTAAACCTATCCGTCAATGCTTCCACCATTGAGCAGGTTCACAGCTACTCGATTTAAGACTGTTAATCGGGTAGGATTAGATCAGAAGAAATGGGCAGAAGATATAGCTTGGCATCCACACAAGAGTGCACTTTTCTCCGTGTATACTGCAGATGATGGTCATCCTCAGATATCAGCGTTATATCTGAACGAAGCTCGAGAGGTAGTAAAAATATATGTAAAGCTGTTAGACTCTTTAGCGTTTTACCATATTTTAAAATTTTGATTGTATATTCATGAGTGGAATGTGCGCTTGAGTGCTTAAACTTGTAGAAAGATAACTTGATCTTCGTAACTTGTTAGGAACAAAAATCAATTTAGCTGGAGTTATTGGGATATTGATTCAACACCTATCTGTTGTAAGATCTAAGTTGATGGTTATACTGTTTCTATCTTCGATGTGGTAGTTATGTGTTCAAAATTGTTGGATCTTTGTTTATCTGCAGAGTTGTGAGTCCAAATTTCTGGAGGACAAGCCTCATAGCAAAGGTCTTATCAACAGAATCATGTTTACGCCTTGGGATGATCCTTGTTTCATCACAGGTGGGAGTGACCATGCAGTAGTGTTATGGCGGGAACAATATGGGAATAATGATTGGAAATCGACCCTTCTGCATAGGGACTTGCACTCGTCGGCTGTGATGGGAGTTGCTGGAATGCGCCATAACAATCTCGTCTTGTCATGTGGAGACGATAGGAGATTTGTTGGGTTCGATGTCCGAGAAGAAAAACAGACATTTAAGCATAGACTAGACAACAGATGCACAAGTCTGCTGCCAAACCCGCGCGATGTTAACCTTGTCATGGTTCACACAAGGTAAACCGAACACTTGATTTATATGTCTCCCCCTCGAGAAAATGCCTCAAACTTCATTCTTTTGTTTGTGTTGTGTATACAGGCAGCTAGACCGGCAACTGCGGTTGTATGATGTTAGAATTCCTCAGACGGAACTATCTTCTTTTGGTTGGAAGCAACAAAGCAGTGAATCGCAGTCAGCTCTAATCAACCAGTCTTGGTCTCCAGATGGTTTACACATCTCATCCGGTTCTGCAGACCCTGTGATCCACATCTTTGATATCCGGTACAATGCACCAAGCCCGTCTCTCTCGATTAAAGCTCATAAGAAAAGAGTGTTCAAAGCTGAGTGGCACTCTTCTCTTCAGCTACTCGTCTCCATCTCATCAGATTTAGAAATCGGGATTCACAAGCTATGGTGAAAACTGATAAAACCTAGGTCATCAAACCCACCTGAATCTTAGCTTTTGTGGATTTCATTCATAATCAGAAACATAACAGAAAAAAAAATGTAGCTTTTCACACCAGCATTTTGTTGGCTCCAGTCTCATGAAGAATATTCTTATCTCCCTATAATCCTCAACCATTGCTGTCTATATACTTAAGCATGACGAAGCGTACAAGAAACAGTTGCATAAAGATTCAAGATTTGTCTTTGTTTTGATTCATGGTCTTGAGATAGAAGAAAAGAGATTCATAAAATACCATCATCATATATAATCTACAAAAGTTAAATCCAATTCACATGTTAAGACAACGTAAGTAGTTTTGTAATTTATGTTTTGGTTAGCAGAAACTTCTATTCAGAACCGGTTACAGTTTCGGTTCGATTTATAAAACAAAAATTTTATTTTATTGAGAGCCATAAAATCGTCCGTCTCCGTCTGTCGCAAATCTGCCCTTTTACAGTGTTTCGTTGTGTGTCTTCTTCTAATCGCTCTATTGTTAATGGGAATTTGAAGAGTCCTAATTCGATTTTTCGTTTTCGCATTTGCATAATCAGCTCGTCAATTTGGGTTGGTTGATTCAGGTTCCGTTCGTCCATGGCTTCGTCGTCGGAGGAGATTGATGAAATTCCATCACCGTGAGTGTATTCTCCTCTCTCTTGCAATTTCATATACTTCAATCTGCTCTTTTAGTTTTGGTGAAATCGCTCTTCTTTATCTGTGATTGAGACAGGCCAAAGAACACTTACAAGGATCCCGACGGTGGAAGACAACGATTCTTACTGGAACTTGAGTTCGTTCAGTGTCTCGCCAATCCTACTTACATCCACTGTAAGTTTGTCTATTTCCCCCCCCCCCCCTCTTACAGTTAAGGAGTCGTTCCAGCGATTTAGGGTTTGTGCTTTTAAAGAATTTCTTCAGTTTTAGGCTTTAATTGAGCTCTGAGTGTTTTAGAAGGAGTTTGTTTTTTCTTTCATGGAGTTTCTTTGAAGTACTTACACACATGAGATCCCAAGTGCTTGATTTGGATAGAAAGCTTTGTTCCTAGAGACCTTGCATGAAATTAATCTGATGTGTTCAAGGGTACTCTGAAACTGCAATATGCATATGCAGCAAAATTCCCATTTGGTTTCCTTCCTCTTAATCACTTTAACAGTTTTGCAAAACTTTAGAATGTACCTACTTATAGCACACCAATATAGAAATAAGGTGAGATTAAGGACTCAAGAAGCTAAATGAAGACATAGCTCCTAACTGTTAGAAAGTAATAAGAGATCTTGTGTTTTTGTATAATTCCGTGGTGTACTTGGACACTGCTCCTCTATATGCTTTGTTTAAGAAAAAAAAGAATTTGCACTTAGCCTTTGGGTTCTGATTTG